GGGGAGAAATAGGGGTCACAAGACTAGTCAAGGCAAAGCAAGGCAAAACAAGCTCAGGGTGGATCTCAAGGATACCACACAAATTCCGAGCACAAGCAAGTGGTCACAAGACGAGTTCACATGCAGGTTTATAATAGAACAAGAGGTACAATGATCACAACCTAGCAAGAGGAAACATGCAGGTATATATATAGAGATCACAGTACAAACAGACTCAAGAAGTAAGCAAGTGAGGTCCAGTAGGCACAAGGCCTAGAAGAGTGCAAAAGCGCTGATGGTCACAAGGCTGAAGCGCCTTGGTGAACACATCAGCAGTGTTGGCCTCAGAGGCCACGAAACGCAGACAAAGCTGACCACGCTGCTGCAACTCTCGAGCAAGGAAGTAGCGCAGAGCAATGTGCTTCGTTCTGTGCTCCAGTCTGTGCTCCTCACACAAGGCAATGGCTGCCTTGTTGTCGACGTACAGCACTGGAGGAGAACGAGGCTGCTCTCGAAGGTCGGTCAGCAAGTAGGTGAGCCAACGTAGCTCCTTGGCCGCCATGGCTGTGGCGTAGATCTTAGCCTCACAACTGGAGCTGAGAACAGAAGAAGAGCGAGTAGAATGCCAAGAAACTAAACCAGAGCCAAGATTGAAGGAGTAACCCTGAGACGACCGCTGAGTAGCCTGGTCGTCTGCCCAAGAAGCGTCTGAGTGCCCAGTGAGAACAACTGGGACTCGCCCTCCAAGCACTAGCCCCATGCCCGACGTACTGCACAAGTAGCGCAACACCCTCTTAGCTGCATCCATGTGCTCCTTCCGGTGACGGCCGGGAGCGACATAGCGTGCAAGAATGCTAAGAGGGTATGCAAGGTCAGGTCAAGTGCAGGTTATCAAGTACATGAGGTAACCCACAAGCTCTGGATACGGGCCACTCGGAACTACGGACTCATCCGAAGGCAGAGCTGAGAGCGAGTGACCGGTAGGCAGAGGAGTGGGCTGAGGCGAGGAGTATGTGAAGCGGAAGCGCTGAAGGACCTGCTGCACCATGTGTGACTGAGTCAAGGTGATGGTGCGGCGTGCTCTGTCCCGGGTGATCCGCAAGCCAAGATATCTTGTCAGTTCACCCAGGTCTGTGCACGTGTGTCTCTTCTACAGCTCCGACTTCACGTGAGCGAGTGCCACAGTGTCAGCAGTGGCAAAGACCAAGTCGTCGACGTACACGAGGATGTAGAACAGCGGCAGTGAGGTGTCGGTGCGTAGAAACAGCGACGGGTCAGCAGTAGAAGGAGCGAACCCAAGAGCCGCAAGTGTAGTCCTTAGTGTGTCGTGCCACTCACGTGGCGCCTGGCGGAGACCGTAGACTGGCCGTCGAAGGCTCCACTGGGTACCAGGAGGAAACGACCCAATGAAGCCAGGTGGACTGCGCAGCCAGATCTCCTCGTGCAGGCTGCCCTATAGAAAAGCAGTGCTGAAGTCAAGAGAGTGGAGCTCGTAGTCACGTTGAGTGGCGACGTGCAGTAGAACCCGAAGAGTGGTCATCTTCGGGGTCGGGGAGAAGGTCTGGAAGAAGTCAACTCCCTCTCGGTGACTGAAGCCTCGTGCAACGTAACGCGCCTTGAAGACAGGCGGAGAGCCCGGCGGCCGCTTCACCCTGAAAATCCACATGCCACTGACGATGTTCGCCCTACGCGGAGGAACCTCGTTCACGTAGGTGCCTGTGGACTTCCAGGAAGCCATCTTTGTGTCCATGGCCGACTCCCACTGAGAGGAGTAGGGACCGGCCATCGCCTCTGCGTAAGAGCGTGGGGTCGGGATATCTAGTGCATCCGGGTCTCCCTCAGGGGCAACAAGCATGGACACGAGATGGGGCAAAGCGGCAGCAAAGCACTCAAACTCCTCCTGCCTGTCCTCAAGGACGTTAGTGCCAAGAGCACACTCACCCCCGACGGACGGAGGACAGACAGACTCAGACTCAGCAACAAGACTAGCAGCATAGTCTAGACGGCAGCGAGCAGCGAAGTCGACAAGCTCAGCAACTAGGGCAGACGCAGCAGCGGACTCAAAGGAAGGGTCAGTGACAACAGTGGCTAGGAGACGCGTGATAGTAGGACTGGCAGCACGAAGGGAGTCTGACCCCGGGTCAGCAAGAGCAGGAAGAGAGGAAGTAGGAGGAGACGGTAGTGGGACACGCTGTGGAGCAGTGGACGGACGAAGTGCCATCCGGTGAGTGCCTGGGACAGCAGGAAGACTCTGACGCGGGACACGACTACTAGTGAGAGCCGTACGAACAGGCGACGCAGAACGAGAGTAAGGCGAGGCAGGACGAGACTCAGGCTCACGACGCTCAGTAAGACCTCCAGTTGGACCAGTGTAAGGAGCAGGACCAAGGAGAGAGGAGGCAGACGGTAGCTGCGATGGCTGCTGGGCAGACGGAGGACACCCTAAGGAGGGAGGAGGACACGGAGGAGGGAGCGTACCAAGAACCTGCTGAAGGAGCGGAACGAAGTACGGCCGCGGCCGTGCAGCGACACCAGAACCAGTAGAAACACCCGTGCCAGTGTCCGCAGCACCAGGAGTAGCACTAGTGGCAGGGTCCTCAGCACTAGCACCAGCACCAACGCCCGGGTCCCTAGCACCAGCAAGAGCTCCAACGCCTTGGTCTGCGACACGAGGCGCGCCACTCCGAAGAGTGCAGCACCGCTCGTACCACTCACAGATCCGCTCACGGGAGGGGAGCTCCCGACTAGGAGGAGAAGCACGAGCACCACTCCTAGTAGCACTCCTGGCTCCAGAGGTACCTCTCCTGAGGCTGCAGTACTGTAAGTACCACTCACGCAGCTGCTCCGAGGAGAGGGCTCCTCCAGGTGTAGGACTCCCAGGCTCAGCACCTCCAGACTCAGAACCCCCAGACTCCGTACTCTGCGGCTCAGCACCCCAAAGCTCAGCACCCCCAGGCTCAGCACTCCTAGGCTCCGCACCCCCAGGCTTCGCACCCCAAGGCTCCGCACCCCCAGGCTCAGCACCCCCAGTCCCGGCACCCCCAGGCTCAACACCCCCAGGCTCAGCACCCCCAGCAGGACGAGAGTTGACAGCTACCTCAACAGGCTCAACCGGGTCTACCTGAGACACACCTGAGGGAGCGGCACCCCGAGGGGGGAGGGGGTCTACAACAGCAGCACCTGGCGCGAGGAAGAGAGGCGGGGGGGGGGGGGGGGGGGGGGGGCAGTGCGGTAGGGGAAGAGGCGGTAGTAGGGGACGGACTCGTCAAAAGTGACGTCATGAGAGGGCAAAACTCGGCGCGAGGTGGCGTGGTAAAACTGCCAACCAGACGCGTCCGGGACAAAGCCGAGGAAGACGCAGGGAACAGCACGGGAGGAGAGCTTGTCCGCAGACGTATCGCGGACAAAAGCTTGAGATCCCCGGACTCGGAAACGCGCCGCATCGCCAACCTCCCCCGTCCACAACAGTGTGGGCGAGGTCTCCGGAGCGGAGACACGGGGCCAGAGGTTGAGCTGATGCGCAGCGTACCGGACCGCAAACGGCCACAGAAAGTGGGGGGCAGCCGCGTGGATCAAGGAGGTACGGGCGACCTCCATGACCAGACCAATGCGGCGCTCCGTAACCCCATTCTGCTGTGGAGATGCCGGAAGCGTGAACGACTGCTCAATGCCGTGCTCAGCACAGTAGGCTGCCAAGAGGTCGGAGGAGAACTCACCACCTCTATCAGAGTGCAAGCGTAGGATAGGAAAGTCCGAGTGGAAACGCTCGTTGAGCTGGAGACGGGCTCTACGGATCCAAGGGATCAAGACATCAGAGACCTCACCCTTGGTGCGCAAGGGGAAGACCGAGGTGTAGCGCGAGTAGTCGTCAACAACTATCAGGAAGTACCTCTCCTGACCCTGACCACGGACGCGGGTTGGGCCCCACACGTCCATGTGGAGCGTCTACAAGGGAGCAATCGTCGGGGGAAACGAGGAGGAATGAGGAGCGGCGCGCTGCCATCCCGCGACACAGGGGAGACAGGTAGGAGCAGGTGAGGGAGGGAGGGGAGGAAGGACCCTGGGAAGGCCAGCGACAAGGTACCGGGAGTGCATGGCACAAAGCCGCTGCACAGACGGGTGGCTAAGGCGGTGGTGCCAGAGGACACTCTCGTTGGCCAGAGAGCGACACGAGCAGGGGGCGGACAGCTGACCTGACGCGGATGCAGACGTAGACGCAGCAACCTGAGGGGACTTAGTGGTCAGTGTGTACAGGTCCGACCCCAGCTGCCAAGTGAAGGTAGCCAAGTGACGGCCCGTACGAGCACACGTACATTGTGTCATGCGCTCGTAGGCAGGGGTGAATTGGTGAACACCCCCGTCCTGGAGCGCACATCCTGCCACCAAGTTCGTAGAGAACGACGGGAGGTGGAGACCTGCAGTGTGCCCAACGGGACCGCAGGACAGGGAAGGACAGTGGAAGAGGACGCAATGACCGGACCCCAAGAGAGGTCAGCAAGGGAGACAGCAACTGGCCGAGCAAGCGGCTCAAGGGCAGTGCGGTCACGAAAGAAGCAGCGAGAAGCACTTGAGTCTAGTATGAAGGTGTGCAGTGCTGCAGTCGACTCAGTACCAAGGGGGGCAGACGCAGAAGCACCTAGAGCAGCTGCCTCACCAGCACCTGGGATAGCCGACACGCGAGTACCTGGAGCGGCAGACGCACTAGTCCTAATGCTCGGGTCGGGCGGCACACACAGGTACTCAGCACCCTCTCCACTAGTAGACATCACATACATAGCAGTGAGAATAGCATCAAAGTCTAGAGCATAGATATCAATCCCCTTCTTTAGGAGATCAATCCAGCGGGGCAGCTTAGTGGCCTGAGGGAACTGAACACGCCAAGCGTCGTTGAGACGAGCGAAGCAGCGCTGTGTGGCGTGCGGTCGTCCACACTGCTGACCAGTGCGCTCACCAGTGCGAATGACGTACGTGCAGCTAAAGCCACCCCCCCCCCCGTGCAGAGAGTACCACTCACGGACCTCCTAGGGCGGCGGAGTGTGCTGCTGGCCCTGGCCACCGCCAGCGCCTCCACGACCACCACCGCCGCCGCCACCTCCTCGACTACCCCAACCCCTGCCGCCGACTCGTCCACCGCCACCCCCACCACCGCCACCGCCCCTGCCACCTCCCCCGCCGCTGCCGCCACCACCCCCACCGCTGCCACTAGCCCTTCCAGTCGCGCCACCACCCCCACCGCCTCCACCGCCCCCACCACCGCCTCCCCCACCGTCACCGCCACCACCCTTGCCCCCTTTGCCCTTGCCGCTACGGCGCCCGCTCGAAGTAGACGCAGTACCGACCTTCTCAGCACGAAGGAGGTCGACAGCAGCAGCAGAGGCGACAGAGGGAAGAAGGGGGGAAGGAGAACACCCCTCAAAGAACGGGGTACGGGGGTCGCCACGAGAGGCACCTACAGCGACTATGCTAATCTCAGCTACAAGCAGTTCCTTCTCGAGGAGGGCAATGGTGAGCTCAGTGGGGCAGCGAGCTAGGAAGTGGTCCCTGACAGCACGCACTGTGTTAGGGAGGCGGGTGACTAGGTGGTAGAGAGTGAGCCAGAGTGGGGGGGGGGTGTGTGGCAAGGAACTCAGCGGGCATGGCGGCACGGAAGCGGGCCTCACTAGTACGGAGGTGCGTGATGAGGTCAACGATTGTGTGGAACGAGGCCAGGTCGGGAAATAGGTAGGGGAGGGAGAGACGGCCTAGCGCGGCAGAGGCAGGTGAGGAGTAGCGAGCAACGACAGCTGTGTACAGTGCCTGTGCAGTCTTGTGCTGGCCAAAGTGCTCGCGTTCGTCTATCGGCAGGGAGTTGCGAATAGCGAAGCGAGCGTGGGCATCACGAGTCTACCAGTGTTAGCGAGCAGTGCTGACAGCAGTAGCAGCAGGGGCAGTGACATGGCCTAGGGCGTGGTCGTACAGTGAGATGTCGTCCTTGGCTGTGAGCTGTAGATAGAGGTGCAGGTCATCTAGCCAGGTGTCAAACTTCACTGGGCGGCCCTCAGCATCGAAAACTAGAACCTGTGGGCTAGCCATAGGAGCAGTAGAGGTAGCAGCAGTAGGAGGAGGAGGAAGCAGGTAGGGCGGCTCGGTTCAGGTAGGGCGGCGCGGCTCAGGTGGGGCGGCGCGGTTCAGATCGGGTCGCGCGACTCGGCTTGGGTCGCGCGGCTCAGCTCGGGTCGCGCGGCTCGGTTGGGTCCCGGGCTGTGGCGGTCACGGGCCACTCGGAGCCTCTAGAGGCGAGCGCTGGGCCTTTCGGGGCCTCTAGAGGCGGTGGGCGCGGGGCCGACGGGGCCGTTCGGGGCCTCTAGGGAGGTGAGCGCGGGGCCTTAAGAGGGCCTGTAGGGGCCGACGGGGCTGTTTGGGGCCGCTAGGGAGGTGAGCACGGGGCCGTAAAGGGGCCTCTAGGGGCCGACGGGGCCGTCTGGGGCCTCTAGGGAGGTGAGCGCGGGGCCGACGGGGCCGTAAGGGGCCTCTAGGGAGGTGAGCGCGGGGCCGACAGGGCCGTTCGGGGCCTCTAGGGAGGTGAGCGCGGGGCCGACGGGGCCTCTAGGGAGGTAAGCGAGGGGCCGACGGGGCCGTTAGGGGCGATCGCGGGGCCGAAAGGGGCCGCTAGAGGCGAGCGCGTTGGCCGTTCGGGGCCTGTAGGGGCGGGCCGACGGGGCCTTAAAGGGCCGTGAAAACCGAGGTGCCCTAGGGCGTAGGTAGGTAGGTAGGTAGGTAGGTAGGTAGGTAGGTAGGTAGGTAGTGGTGGGCCCTAAAAAAAATCGGTCCTAGTGAGGACCTGCTCTATACCATGTTAGAATCAATGAACAGGAATGGATGAACTAAGAGTGAAAACAGTACAAATACCTAACCCTAGAATTGTGTACCCCCTATAGGCTAACCTACTGTAGCCTAAACAAGCACAACAACATATATAATGTTTGACACGATAGCGCAATCATTGTTCGCTCATTCAAGTACTCGTAATAATAGCCAACAAAAAACAGTAGCGCATGAAGGCAATGTCAAAATAATATATAGTTCTATATATTGTTCTATAACTACATGTAGTGTAGAATACTGTAGTCATATAAATTTCTGTTTGGTGGTGCACCTTTCTTCATTCTTACTTATTTGTACTGCTTGCTCTATAGTGAACAGCCTCTTTTGTTGGTGAAACTTCTCCCTCGCTACTCTCGTCTTCCTAAAAACCTAGCTATGGCGCCTAAGATTAATCTACTCTTCTGATAGGCAAACTAGAATAAGCTGAGTTAGCAGCGGTATTGGGGCTTGCCCAAAAGTGTATGCCAACATGGCCTTGTACAACATTGTGTGGTTTGGAAAAAAAAATTTCGCGATGTTGCAAAAACCGTTAGTAATTGACACGTGAAGAGGTTGTCGGTCCATGAGCAGATTTGTACATAGCGGGTACTGTCAAACATTTATGCTATAGTCTTGTTAGGCTGTAGTGGGGAAGACAGTATGGGGTACAGTTTTCTGGGGTTAATTATTTGTACCCAACTCCTTTTCTAGTTCATCATTCCTTGTTCTTTCACATGGTATAGAGCAGGTTCCCTAGTGGGAAGGTTTCGTAGGGCCCACCACGAAAATTGAAAAAAAAAAAAAAAAAAAAAAAAAAACAATTCCTGCCCGGAGCGCGCTTCGTTCCTACCCAAGTCGCGCCCCGTGTGCCTGCCCTCCCGTCGCGTCCCCTGCCCTTAGCGGCCCGTCGCGCCCTCTTACGGCCCCGTAGCGGCCCCTCTCACGGCCCCTCGCGGCCCCTTCGCGGCTCACTCGCGGCCCCTCCACAGCCCTTTCGCGGCCCCTCTCACGGCCCCTCGCGGCCCCTTTGCGGCTCCCTCCCGGCCCCTTGCGACCCCTTGCGGCCGCTCGCGGCCCCTTCGTGGCCCCTCGCGGCCCCTTCTCGGCCTCGTCGCCGCACCTTCGTGGCCCCTCGCGGCCCCTTCGTGGCCCCTCGCGGCCCCTTATCGGCCCCGTCGCCGCCCTTAGCGGCCCCTTCGTGGCTCCTTCACGGCCCTGCCGCCCCAGCAGCAGCTGCCGTCGCGCCGTGACAGCCACCGCCGCAGCTGCCCGGGCCGCAGCAGCCGCCACCGTCGGCAGCACCCGCCGCCGCCGGCGACAGCAGCAGCTGCTGCCGCCGACAGCAGCAGCCGCCACCGCCACCGACAACACCAGCCGCCGCCGCCGCCGTCGCCGCCGCTGCCGTGTCAGCCGCCGTGGCGCCCTGCCCTATCGCGCCCTGGCCCTTGGATTAGCCGCCTCTGCAGCAGCCGCCCCTGGCCCCTGGAGCAGCTGCCCCTGCAGCAGCCGCCCCTGGCCCTTGGAGCAGCCGCGGAGCCCTCACCCTGTGGTGGTAGCGACCTTCCCGTTGCCGCTGTCGTACGCCTGCCTTCTTGCCACTGGTGAGCACTGCCTTGCTCGTACTGCTGTTACTGCTGCTCTTGCTGCTACTGCTCTTTCTACTACTACTACTGCTCCTAGCGTGCCCAGATGCAGCTCCAGCGCCGTCCGAGTGAGTCCCTCGCCCCCCACCAGCTTAGTAAGTGGTACGCTAGTTGGGGTTGTAGGGGTGGCCGCTCTGCTACTACTGCTACTGCTGCTCCTGACGGTAACCAGATGCAGCTCCAGAGACGTCCCCGTGAGTCCCTCACGCCCCAACAGCTTTGTGAGTGGTACGCTACTTGGGGTTGTCGGGGTGGCCGTAGTGGGAGTCGTCCTGGAGTGAGTAGTTCGGGAGCTAATTGTAGTGGCCAGGTGCAGCAACACCGTCGTCTGCGCGCGGTTCTTTTGCCCCAGCAGCTTCGTGAGTGGTACGCTCAGCGTGGAGGGTCACGATGTACTGCTCGCTGTCCGTACGTCATAAGCAATGGTGCTCGGACTGGTCAGCCTTGCGGGACGTTCAATCACACAGAGTCCCGCTGCTTCGCCCGTCTAAGCGACGCCTGGCGTACGGAGTTTGGCGACGCGGCTGAGCTCCCCGACTAAGTGCATCTGCTTGGGCAGAGGGTAGATATCTATACTCTTGACTATAATGCTATCCTCATTGCCATGTATGGATTGCCTACTAGTGATGAGGGTGACTGTTACCTGTGTGCTCCGCCTGACCCGAACACTGAGGCTGCTGCTCTTGGTGCTGGTGAGGGAGCTGCTCTAGGAGCTAGTGCGTCTGCTACTCCAGGTGTTGGTGAGTCTGCTGCTCCAGGTATTGGTGAGTCTGCTGCCCAAGGTGCTGGTGAGTCCGCTCTCTCAAGCACCACATTGGCTCAGGTTTTGCTCACCTTCACCCTTGACTTGGGTGCTTCCCGCTCCTTCTTTCGAGACCGCACCTCACTCACGACGCTTAGTCGGCCGGTTGCAGTCTCCCTGGCGGACCCCTCTAGGGGTCCTGTCCTTGCCCACTTCTCCACTGTCTTACCGTGTCCGGCGCCCCCTTCTGGCACCCTGTCAGGTCTTTACCTCCCCTTGTTCTCTACGAACTTGGTGAGTGGTGGTGACCTACAGGATGGAGAGGTTGACTAGTTCACTCCTACGAGTTAGCGATTGACCCATTATACGTGTGCTCGGACCGGTCGACACTTGGCCACGTTTACCCGTCAGCCGGGGTCGAGCTTGTACACACTGACTTTTGAGTCTCCTCTATTGCTGCGTCTAGTCAGGTAGCTGCGTCGGGTCAGGTGTTTGCTGCAACGTCGAGGTCTGGTCCTGAGTCTGCCCCCTACTCGTGTCGTCTCCCGTCTCACCAGACTCTCCTCTACACCACCGCCTTGGTCACCCCTCCCTGCCTCGTCTCCGAGGCATGGCCTCCCGTGTTCTTGTCTCTGGTCTCCCCCGGTCCCTCCCTCCCCTCCCTCCGGGGCCTGCCCCTACCTGCGTTCCCTGCGTCGAGGGGCGGCAGCGCGCCGCCCCTCACTCCTCCGAGTTTCCTTCGACAGAGGCTCCCCTGCAGACTCTTCACATAGACGTGTGGGGCCCCGCCCGCGTCCGTGGCCAGGGTCACGAGCGTTACTTCCTGTTGGTGGTTGACGACTACTCGCGTTACACCACGGTGTTCCCCTTGCGTAGCAAGGGTGACGTCACTCAGGTGTTGATCGACTGGATCCGCGCGGCTCGTCTCCAGCTTAGAGAGAGTTTCGGCTCGGACTTTCGTGTTCTGCGTCTGCACCCTGACAGAGGCGGGGAGTTTTCCTTTGCCCGTCTGGGAGCCTTCTGTCGTGCACAGGGCATCCGCCAGACCTTCACGCTCCTGGCCTCTCCACAGCAAAATGGGATTCCTTAGCGCCGCATTGGCATGGTCATGGGCGTCGCTCGTACGTCCATGATCCATGTAGCTGCTCCTCATTTTCTATGGCCGTTTGCGGTTCAGTACGCAGCGCATCAGCTCAACCTTCAGCCCCGGGTCTCCTTGCAAAAGACCTCCCCCACCTTGCGGTGGACGGGGAAGGTTGGCGATGTGTCTGCGTTTCGTGTCTAGGGATCTCGGGCTTTTGTCCGCGACTTGTCTGCGGACAAGCTGTCCCTCCGTAATGTTCCTTGCGTCTTCCTTGGCTTCCCCCCTGACGCGCCTGGTTGGCAGTTTTACCACCCAATCTCGCGCCGTGTTTTGTCCTCCCAGGACGTCATGTTTGACGAGTCGGTCCCCTTCTACCGTCTCTTCCCCTACCGCACTGACCCGCTCCCCCCTCCGTCGCTCTTCCTCACGCTAGGTGCTGCCTTGGTAGACCCCCTACCTTCCCAGGGTCCTGCTCCCTCAGGTGTTTCCCAGGTAGACCCAGTCGAGCCTGTCGAGGTAGCTTTCGACTCTAGTCCTACGTGAGGTACAGAGCGTGCTGGGCCTGGTGGTGCTGGGTCTGGGGGTACTGAGACTAGGGGTGCTGAGCCTGGCAGTGCAGAGACTGCGGGTGCTGAGCCTGGGGGTGCAGAGCATGCAGGTGCTGCGCCTGGGGGTGCTGTCCCTGGGGGTGCTGAGTCTGGAGGTCCTGAGCCTGGGGGTGCTGCGCCTGGGGGCGCTCGCTCTTCTCAGCAGCTGCGTG